CTGAAGTTGTCACCTTGAAAAAGCCTTCGTGCAGCGCATATAAACGTCCGTCCGTAGCGCCCCAAATATCTCTCTGAAATGTACCTCCATGGAGCCTTCGTCTCTTTTTTCCTATTCTTCGAAGCTTTCATTTCAGCAGCTGCAGAGCGACCTTGTTTAGTTGGGTCCTCGTAGCCGTCCGCCTGTGACGTCTGCTAGCGCGCCCTGTTCACGGTTTGTGTGAGGAGAGCAGGGAGAGGAGCGAGCGAGGGCACGTCTCTGTTGTTAGGCGACAGCCGGCAATTCGCAGAGCGATCCCATGTTGACGATGGAGTTTTTTAAAGATACACTAGAGAAAAAACTGCGCTAGTGCCTATGGGAGGTGTAACAAATGGTGCTTCGGTGAGCATACGAATTATGTGTAGTCCATGAATTTTCCTACTCTTCGTAGGTTACGCTTTCTGGCTTCGCGTGGCTTGAAGCTGCTTTGTTACGAAACAACAGTCGACAAATATTCGGCACGTACGCTTCACTACCTTCACCTTTTCGGATTACCACTTCGAATCAGCTCACAAGGTTCAAAAGGGTTTGTTCTCTCATTCAAGACAAAACTAAAACACAGAAATAAACGAAAACACAAGTCTGATTCAGCGCCCGCAAGCACGAACACTAGGCAAATTCATGTCATACCCACAATTACCCGCGGTCGCTGAACGATCACGGCACCAGAGTCCCGTCTAGTTAATTTTAGGGAAGCCAAGCTGCGAAGAACCTCTGCCGGCCGTGGCGACCCCCCCCCCCCCCCCCTACTGCGCATTCTCGCGTCTCGTGCCAACTGTCGTTACCCTCCCCTCTCTCTCACCTCGCGATGTCGGCGCAGGCAGCGTCTGCTGATTAAAAAAATGGCCCCGTATCTGAACGTTAATCTGCAAATGTCGTCGAAAGACGATAGTCTTGCGTGTGGAGAGAGTGAACAAAACATTTATTTGAGTTCTCCGCAAGAAAATTGGTGAATGGTATTCTGGAGGCGCTGCGTTAGAGTGCCTCGAGCGTGCAGCGGAGGCGAACGAGCGCATCAAGTCACGTCACACGTGAGACATGAGCGCCATATGGCACTTTTCTTGGAAAAAGAAGCGCGTGCCTCTGAGGCGGGTGTGCGCGCCCGTCTCAGAGGTGATAAGGTGTAGAACGCAAGGCGACGGGTAGGTGCCACCACCGTCTCGTCTTAGCAAAGCGTTGGAAACACTCGTCTTTTCTTGCGAGCGTTACATGGTCAGTGCAGCGTGATAAGCGCTACGGTCTTTAAAATTACTTATGTATGCCTTATCTAGTAAAAGATGCACATGCAGAATATATACGTGTTGTTATGTTGCCCCAGACATGCGCAATAATTGCTTTTTAATTGACAATTGCACAAGTATGAACGCTGAATCTTGAGCATCATTGGTGGGCGCTGCGGATGGAGACAGCCGTTTCAAGTGCCCGATGCCTTCAAGAGTGAACAAACAGACAAATGAACAGACAGACAGATCAAAATTTTTGCGTCGAAGGTCCCTAAGAAGGACTATCGCCTTTAAAAATCCCCCACCTCCCTGAAGGGGATCGTGAGAAAATGCGAATGCATTGCGTAGCGCCCATACGTAATGGTGGTTCGCACTGGACAACCCAGCATTAAAAGAATATTTTTTTTTCTTACACCGTACAGCCAAAGCGCCGTTCACCACATGTGGCGTTTTTATTTCATGAGAAACGCGGTATACGTTTCCAGCTCTAGTAGCTAGCGTGCACGGTTAGAAATACTATGAAGTGAACAAAATAAACAGCGTTTTCAGCTCGGCGTTGGCGTTTCACAGCGGCGTCTCGAGCACGCATTTCCGGACGTTCTTCGAGAGGCGCCCAGCCAGCGAACGGTCGAGAGTCAGGCGCGAGCGGACGGGAAAGTGGGGCGCCGGGTGGAGAGAGAGCGAACAGCGAGAGAAGGAGCGGTGAAACACTGCGCCTACCCTCTTCTACACTCTCTCGCAACACATGCTCTGGTTGCTAGGCGCGAGGAGAAGCGCACGCACCTGCAGCTGTTGCTATGGAATAGGAATAGGGAGCGGAGAGAAAACACCATAAAATCAGCTGGCACGCAGACATCTCCGGATGCCTGACATATCCCGACACAGAAATGCATTAGCATTGAAAACTGACTGATTGCTCTGCGCAACCGTGCACACCCCACCACGTATATGCAGACACTGGATCGCGCGTTTGAATATCACGCAAGGGCGTTCTTACTTGGCTTTAGCTTGACTTCTTACTTGGCTTTAGCTTGACTTGACACTTCGCTTGACTCGATAGATGCGATGGAGGCAACAGTACCTTCAACCTGTAGTAGGGCACAACCCAACATGCGCGCCCCACCATTCGTTGAAGGCAACGCTTCTCCGCCATTTTCTAAATAAGAATAATAAGGACGAAATAACCATTGAGCATTCCCAAACCATACACAGTTACGCAACATTCACGCAATGCCGCCCGCCCCGCCCCCCCCCCCCACTCTGCGGCGCATTTACTCTAATTCTCCTGTTGGAAAATGTCGGAGATTCTTTGTTGATTTGAACTATGATGTGCTTAACCTCCGTTTGAAGCCTAACACACTCTGTTCGCTTCCTTTTTTAAGGTTACGCCATTATTTTCCTTTCCATGATCGAAGCGTCTTTCTCAATTAAACCTGAACGCTCTTTCTAAGCCGTCAGATTTCTGCTCCATAGGTTAGTACTGGTTAGATGCCGTTGTTATATACCGTCCTCTTGAGGGATAGTGACGATCTACCGTTCAGAATTAGAGAATGGTTGCAGAAAGTAGTCTACCCCATCCTTATCCCCTTAGTTTTCTTCTAATGATTCGGTTCTGTCGTTACTACCTTTGCTAAGTAGACATGTTCCTTTACAACTTCCAGTGATTCGCCACCTGTCACAAAGTGCTGTTCTGTACTGAGACTGTTGCACATTGTACTCGAGCAGTCCGGAAATCAAGCAGACCGCAAGTTGGACTGAAGCATGTAGAGTTTGATATCGTCGAAGTTCTGTGCTGCTATATTAACATGCTAAAGCGCAGCTTTAGATAATTTCTTGAGGCAAAGTTATAGTACATTCATATTCTACTGCCCAAGTAACACCTTGCTTCCGTCCAAAATTCGAGACTTGCAAACACCTTGAGGATAGTATAATAGTTAAAAGCCCCGGGAGTAATTATTTCCATCTTATAAAATCTACTTTTACCTGCAATAGTGCAAACGTTATCTACATGATCGAATTATCATATTTTCAAAAATGATATATTGGCGAATTAGGAAAGCCTGTTGTATTAAATGCTCATCACGCGAACATGCAAAGGAATTACTGAAAGTAGTGGCACAGCGTTTCAATTTAGCAGGACACGACATCAACGATCTCAAATTCTACATACTTTACTAAAACTTCCATTGCGCAAGAGACATAAAATATACAGTCTCACCTTATTGACAAGTTCAATACACTACAGCCAGTAGGTATGAACGTTTCTAAAGGGGCTCTTGAATCTATTCGGTATGGTATATACACAAAAAAAAACACTACGATTTAGGCCCTCCGTCAATAAACTTGAAGCTACCATGTTAACTACTGAAAATAGGGTCGACAACCAGGATTCTGTCCCACGTGTACATCATCACCTCTCCACCACATCCTTATTTTCTTTTTATTCAAGGAACACCTGCTCCTTTTTCACTCATACAGTTCGTCGCAGCCTAGTAGTAACCTTGCATGTGCCGTGTGGTGATGGCAGAAAAAGAATGTGTGGTCTCAAACGTGCTTGTTTTTTATCGTCATCAGCATTATTGCCAGCGTCAGCGGCGGCCAGGGCTTGCAACGTCAACGCCAACGGACAACCATCGACCTGGAGGAGCTTCGCCGCAATAATTACACCACAGTGACCTTCTCTTCACATGCTTCGCGAAACTTGTCCTTGCTCCTTGTCGGTTGAATATGTTCAATGTACTATGTCAATATGTTCAATATGTACTATATCACTTCAAATCTTTTTTCTCTTTTTGGTGACGTGTACGAGATGTAATCGAACATGTTTCTTTTATCCGCGACCTATGCGGGATGTATTTGATATAGTTTTGCGTTTTTGTTTTTGTTATTTCCATATAGTATGCGTCTTGAGCGTACAGTGTGAAACTTGTTTCCACATATGTTCTTTGTACGTGCCAGATATGTAACTCCAACTGCTTTCTTGGCCCTTGGGCTGACAGTATGAATAAATAATTATAATAAAAAATTATAAAAAACCTCCATTTCTATGGTACGAGGGATCTGACGAATGTTTTCATGCCTTTTGCTTACCCCACCGATGGTGCCATCAACGGTAACGTCAATGCCGCTCAGCGCAGGAGGAGGTGCCAAAGAGCTGTGCTCCGAAATTGGACAAACTGTTCATTCTAATTTAGTGAAGGTCATTTTCTCTCTGTTCGTCCTAGTGACCTGCACCGGATTGATCGCGTATATCCTTCTCCGTAGTTGCGCTGTGGTTCGTGATGTTTTGTAGCGGTACACAGCCACTTCCCGTACAGCAGGGAGTAAGGAATGCATGGTGTAAAATGCAGGATATACCCAATTAGATGTTTGCATTCGCAAAGGTCGGCCAGTCTAGTGCACGATTGCTAGTACAATACCTCGAAGAAATTGTTGGTTGGTTGACTCTTATTAGCCTGGATAACCCGACATAAGAGATAGGCCTCGAAACTACTTCAGCCTTCGCGAGTTCTTTTTCTTTATAGCAAGACATTCTTCACCTATTCTAAAAAAGTGAATGATGGAGTAGTGGAAGCAATCTTGAAAAGAATTCCTTTTCTAAGCGTTAGACATGCCTATAAATTTCTCGATTCACAGCAAGGAAAAATTTCCATATGTTTTGCATTTGAACACGAAAATAAATGAAACAACGTTTACCGAAGAAATCATTGACAAAGTTCTGGAAGCCGTTCAAGTAGATCACTGTTCAAAGAAGCTGCACTTCCTAGGCGGATTCATGGGGGCGTTTGAAGGGCAGTGAAACGCTTCGGCAAATCGGAGCGAGTTTTTCACCGGAACATTGCAGTCGTCACCCTTTCTTTCAGGCCTCTTTGAGCACACCGAATAGCAGAACGTGAGGAAGAAGATCTGGCTGTCGGTGAATTGCTCGAGGTTAAGAATCCGGAGGTCTTCCAGTGATTGATAGTCCCGTGTAACGGCAGCAATGAAGCTCTCATATGCGACTTCCAAGCCTACCACGGCGGGAAACATTCGTAGTGGTCGCCACCTGGTGGTGTCTGTCGTAGTGAGGACGTCACAGTTGGACTTCTCGGCATGCACTGCGGCCGCAGGGGGCTTCAGCCACGTTCCGCGAACGCCGGCGGCGTCCACAGTGACGCCTGTTGCATCTAACGTCTTGACCATCTGTCGACCTGCTAAGGTGCCCAGTCCACCGTACCTGATGGCCAGTGTGGCGTTATGGTAAAAGAGCGGCGGATTCAGGTCGCCGATTGCAAGCGTCATCGTGTTGGGCAAGTACAAGTAAAGCTCACGGCCGAAATGTGGGAACATGCGAACGCTGTACACGTCATGGAAACGTTTGTGGCTACGGAGGCGCTGATAAACTTGAGAAGCCCCCACAAGGTTCGTCATGAAATTCTTGCCCTTCATGTTCGGAAACACGCTGTACAGTGCCTCGCGTTCCTTCTTGATGAAGAAACTGTCATTAGGCATTACGAAGCGTTTCATTTTGTCCAACTTTGAATATGACATGCGCTTACTTTCTTCATCCATCCATGGCGTGGCATTAACAAGGTGTTTTATGTGCTCGTTCATTCTGTGCATAAAGCTGAAGGCCTCGTAACGGCTTTCAGCGTAGCCGTAGCGTGTGGTCATCAGTTTCGGTATTGCGTACAGACCGAGGAGGGATTGCACGTACGTCATGCAACGATCTGCCTGCTTTCTTTTCAGCTCGGAGAAAGATGCGCGGAACCTTAATGATGGCATACCGCAGACAGCCCAGAGGTGTGTCTGAATGAATATCCACGACAATCCGATGACCAACTCTTCGCGAGTGAACTTCTTGAGCAGCTTATCTATGTTCTCTAGTATTTTGACGTCCTCGACAATCACTGTGCTGTCTTTGGTCCAGTTGAACTGCTTGTCGTACTTAGCGAGGGCGTTTAGCCAGAGACCCGCCGGTACCGTAGGCGTCTGACTGTCAAGGGCGTTCACACTGTACCAGTCTTGCTGAGGGGTGTCATAGAGAAACTCGATTTTGGCTCTGACAATGTCCTCCTCAATGTGAATCAGCTCTGCAGTTTCAATTCGAGCTTGTGATTCGTTTACACCCAGTACTTCGTAGTTAATTCTGAGGTAAACTTGATATTCCTCGGGTGTCCTGGGATTTCGAATGTCCTGCTCCCACTCGGTATCAATGCGACCGCGAGTCATGAGAAGCGTTGGGTATTCCTGAACAGTGACGACGCTCATGTCAAACAAGAAGTTCATCTGCCAGTTCAGGGCCAAGTTGACCATTACTTCCACCGGGTGTTTAGCCCCCTGTACGCTGCGTTCAGGCCAGGTTAGACCTAGAGATTTCCGGAACTCTGCAAACAGTCTTAGGTTCTCCTTGAGGTCGGCGACTGCACTGTGGCAGCTGTCATAAAAGTGCGCCGCCTTGGTGTCCGGCGAGTCCCTGATCTCCTTGAGCGCGGCGTTTAGGGCTGCGACCCTCATTCGTCCTTCGGTCGACTCCTGACGGCTCTGATCGTCCCAGCTGCCGCATACGTAGGAGTGGAAGTCGTGGCACGGGTCTATCGCTACGTTGATGGCTGCGCTCAGCTCACGACCAAAGGCAGCGCAGTCGTCCGTGCGGCACACCACCACGTTGTTAGTGTTCGTGCCACTCGTGAAGAAATAGGCCACCAGTAGAGCACCGAGGAGTAGCAGCAGCAGGGCGACGGCAAGCAGCACAGCTGCCTTGCATTTGTGACTTGCCTTGGACGCCTCTGTGCTGCTCTGCAAGTGAAAGTGACTTATCTTAAATTTCGCGTGCGCATACCAATCTTAAACATCGTTTCACACGTTCAACGAAAGAGATAACGCTCATGGGAGCTTAATAAACGCTCATCAGCTGTGCACGGCCTCTACTTTCTGTACGCGAATGCACCTAGTGAACTTTGTTGTTTGCATACCTTTCACGACAACTGTACCATTTGTACCACCGATGTTGATGCTGCTCAATAGCCGTAATTTCATATTTTTCTCTGAAGCATAACTCTAGGTCACGTGCTTGTGTTTGAGCTGATGCAGCTATGTGCAAGAGTACTGACATGTCTATGTCGACAATCTTTTGGTATTGCGATATAAAGAGTACGACCTCTTTCTAAGGTGTCATATTTCTATTTGATCTTAGCTGAAGTTTGCGAGGTGGAATGGGCGACGCTGAACAATTTTTCTGGTTACGCATATAAAGTCAGATATAATGGTATCGACATTAAAATTCATATACTGTAGTACAAATAAAACCAACGGTCATCATCCGATCGATCACTATGTATGTACGAATGTTATTGTAATATCATTCAATTGAACTTTGAACAAAGTATAGCGCTTTGGCGGGTTCCTTATCGTAAGTTTTTTTTGTTTCAGTCGTTCACTTACTGACCAAAAAAGGAGAAGAAAAATGCATGATTTGGAGAAACTGTAGACGCTGGCTAACCACTGAGAAATTGACGATATTCAGCGACTTTCGGGTGGGTTTGCTGCAAAGGATTTCCTAACTATTTGGTGTTGGCCAGTGAAACTAAGACTTGCTGCTGACTTTATAGTGAGCGTGGACCTCATTCACTCTTAACTGCAGTGCCGTTGCACATCCACTTAATGAACGAACGTGTATTCTGGTCTTGCTGTAGTCATTGAACATACAAATATATTTGAAGGTTTGTTGCATTTATTGTGCGAAAGTTGCATTTTCGTGGCTTAGTAGTTGAATACTAAATTTTCTTTTTATCATCCTTTGAAAAGTTCGCGATCGCAAAATATTAACCCGGTGAAAAACAATTGGCTCCAATTTGGATTTCCAACGGGAATTCATTGGAGCCAATAGGAACCAATTGGAGTCTCTTTACTTCAAATTGGTTTTGATTGGCTCACAGAACTGCTTGGATTTGCATATTAAAATGAAGTAGACCGATAGGCAACAATTGGGAAATCTTCGTTGCAATTGGTTGCGAATGAGTCACAGGACAAACCCATTGGATTAGCCAATTGAAACGAAATGTACCCATTGGCTATAATTAGAAATTTATTGTTCCAACTGGTTACAATTGAGTCAAATTGAAACCAGTAGAGATGTCTGATTGGTTGCGATTGGGTCCAACTGGAATCGAGATTACAAATAAACTAGGCCTTATGCCCTAGAATAATTAAGGCTATCACCAGGACAAACTATTGTATTTTCCGTTATAGCTTGCTCCTAAATATTTTCAACTATTCCTTTACCAACGGTCGTCGCCCTTATCGGCTAAATGATGTTACTGTGTCAAGCAATCCTTAAAAAATAACTTGCATATATGATTAACAAAAACCTACATTGCGGCAAAGCTAAAACTATGACATAAATATGAAAACCTTTTCTTCAGACATGGAGTTTCTTTATGTTTTTGAAAACAAAAAAAAAGTCACAGCTTGGCCACGATGGCAAATCAATGAACACGATAGCAGCAAATTGGAAGGTCACACGATAAATGGCAAACATATCAAAACGCTCTTCACGTTGCTCACGCAGAAATGACGCACGAAACGTACTCACAGGTACAGATGAATGCGAACAAGCGTCTCAGCTGTTGCTTCACTGTGTCTAAAAACCACGTTCTTTTCGCAAATGGAGACTGTGCAGCGAGTGCAGTGACCTTCGTGCGCTTGGCAACTCAACAGAATTGTTCCGGTGAAAGCCCAAGTTGTACGATTATCCCCACCACAAGATTCCCACGCTCAGGCGTGAGCATCCACCCCGCGCCCCTCTCCGCGGGGCAAGAGCACGCGCCACCATGTCGTGATGATCTGGTGACGCGTGCTCATTACGCCATCTCGATGGTAATTCTGCAAGCACGATAGCTCCCTCGATATGGCCATCTCCAACGGTAAGTGGTAGATATAAACAGCTTGCAGTTTGAACGTTGAATGACATGCTCCTTCGTGGCTCAATGGCTGACGCCTTGCACTCACAAGCAGGACGTCAGACGTTCGATTCCGCACGGATTTTTTTCTGAATAATTTTTTTCTTTCTTGAGTTTTTATGTATATACATGCGTATACAAACACGGTGGCTGAAGTCAATGCCGATTCCCATGGCAAAATCGAGTGGAGAGTGTCTATTATTTGCTATCGCAAGGAAAGAATGTTCGCAACAATGTGTGGCGTTTAGCCAGCGGAAGTAGCCGCCATAGCCAAAGCCAAAGCTGCTTTGTGTTCCCGTGTTTCGTGTGGCTACTCAAGCGACCGCGCGCGAGGTTTGTAGTTTTTGTGCATGCAGCATTATCTAATGCAGTCATGATAACACATGCATACGTGTGCCACGATGGAGGATGACCGCAATGTATGGTTGTCAAAATTGACGATGTTAGAGGATGAAAGGCCGGTGAAGACTTGCGGCAACATTCTGCAGTTTAAAGTGAATAGATGAAGATAGCGAAACACAGTTCTATTGTGCCAGAATACTGCTCGTCGTAGGTAAGCATGCTCGAAATCAGCTACAACCATGTGTGTGTGTGCGTGTGTGTGTGTGTGTGTGTGTGTGTGTGTGTGTGTGTGTGTGTGTGCGTGCGTGCGTGCGTGTGCGCGTGCGCGCGATTGGTCGCACACCGGCATACCTCAAGCTTGCATGTTTGTTGATTGTTGCGCAAATAATCGGTGCTTATAATAACCTCGAAACGCTGTGTACCGATATTTCGCATTGCTGTACCGCACTTCTCTCTAGATAAGTGGTAAAAAATACATACGAACGATGGCGCCTATTCACTAAGTAAATATTGGTGCACCTATACACATTTGGTGAGAAAACAAAGCTTTTTTTGTTGTTTTGGTGGTTTTCACGCATAGACGCGAATAACTTCCCGTGATCGTAGCTGCACGTAGTAATGAAAGCCTTGAGAAATTTTACTATGTTGGTGCACAAGTGCGCAGGGACAAGTAAGACTTGTAAGCTGGTTATATGCATTGTCACATATAAGGTTGAAGGATAAATATGCACAGAACATATTTTGCTTGTGCATGTAGCTTACAGTGTATGCTCTATGCCCACACGTGCAACAGCCCACAGCAATTGTCGGCAATTACTTTTCCAGTACTTAGAGACTACCTGTTAGGAAATTGTCTACATTTTTCATTGGAGAGCTTTTGCCATGTCTTAGAAAGTACAGTGCACGCATAATGATTTTGTCATTTATTTATTCGCTGCTTCTGTGAGAATGGCCAAAGATCTGTCACCATGAGGGCTTCGTCAGAACCTACAGTGCAACAAAATTTCGTTGTTTTGTACCTCTTAAATTTCCTGTTTTGTTGCCAATTACTATTGAACATTGGTGCAGCCAAGAAGCTGCCACCATAAGGCTATATGGTTGATTCATTAGAGTACCAATTGGTATCGCTTTGCTACCCATTGATCCGTCTTACAAAAGCCGATTGGTCGCGTTCCAACACGTCCAGTCGGTTCAACTGTGGGCTAAATTACGATTGGAAATTTTCTCATTGTTTTCAATTGGAGTCAATGGTTTTCTTTTTTTTTTACAAGGTGTGCTTTTTATGGCTCGCTCAGTACGAGCTCGGGGTGCGTGTAAGAGGGGGTTCACTCATGCGTAAGTTTGTCGGGTTACGGCTGTAGAGCCAGCACATCAACGCGAATGCAAGCAAACAAGCATAACCTTTTCTGCACTGTATTTCTTCTTTGACGGCAGTCGCCTTGAAAGGGTCGGCACCGTAGGTATGTCCCAAGATTTTTCCGAGGTCAGCGAAGCCTGCGATGGCAGTGAATGAAAAGGAAGCATTAGCTTGATCTTTTTCTATGCAATATTTATTCAGCGCGGAGAAAGCTTCTTTACGCAACTGGTCCGAGATTTAAATGAGATGCTGATACTTTTCACAACACCTTTCGAGCACATGTATCTGTTGGATAGAGCATGTTTGCTAAATAGTTGCTCTTGCGTCGCTGTCTAGATATAAACCATCTATTGCAGCAGTTATCCTTAAGCAAAAAGGTCAAATTAATTTCGTCGAAGGTCTTAGCTTTAACTGCGCCTTACGCTGCATTTGGGCTACCTTGCTAGCCAATAAAAGAAGGTGAATGCCAGCATAAGATATTAGTTAACAAAAAAAGGGGGGCAGCGCATAAAAATGGTAAACAAAGACAAACGTCTGTTATTAGAACAACGGTTAACGCACCTGAATAGCCATTCAAGAGCCCTATGAATGCTGACTCTGTAAACCCGAGCTAGAATTAGGAACGACGCACGAGCTGTGGCGCAGCGCTGCTTGAAAAGTGACACAATGAAGCAGTGCAAGTCTAACTAGCACGTTTACCCTGCTTGCGGCTTCCTCCGAGAGCGAAGGCTTTCGGTGTTTTTTGTCTTGACCGCTCGTCTTGTCGTTAGACAAGCGGGACTTTGATGATGGCCTGGAGGATCTTGAGGACAAGCTGGGTGTCTTCGTGCGCTCGGTCGTGGCGTGCGCTGGGACACTGTAGATTAAGCTGCTTTTCCTTGAACTCTCAGCCATGGCGTGTCACTGTCCGTTGCAGGTCGGACTGGATTCTGAGGAACTCGAGCTTTCGGCCACGGATCCTGAACAGCGAAGGGTGCGTGCCACACGGAGCGTGCTTCTTCTTCCTTCGATTCTTCTTCTTCAGCTTCATTTTTGGGCAAAGCTCAGCCACACAGAAACGATAACTGTATTGTTTTACTTGCGAATAACGGTCACATTTTCACCACAGGCAATCAAGCTGATGTAATAAAACGCTCAAATATATATTAACTTGGTGAACACAGTAAAAACACATCGTTGGAATCAGTTTCAAAGAATGCCGCTGTGAAAAGGTATTTATGCGATTCTAAGAGCTGCCTGGGTTATCGTTTCTTGGTGGGTTTTGTACCAGGCGGGCCACCGCTTAATAAATCGGGATGATCCCACCTCACCTGGCCACCTTGAGAGAGGGCGCGCGCGCGGCGCGGCAGCCATCAATAAACAGTCCCTGGCTAGCTAGCGTCTCGTGTGGTTGTGTCTTTGCTGAGCGCGTAAAGTAGAACATGGTGTCAGAAGTGTAACAGTCGAACCCTGCGCTGAAGATGGACTGCCTACCACCACCCGAGCCACTTGTACTGACAAATACTCCGGCCGACAACTGGAAAAAGTTCCGCCAACGAATCGAACTCTACTTCAAAGCTACTGAGACCAACAAGAAACGGACGCCAGCACAGAAGGCTGCCATCTTTCTACACGTCGCGGGCCCAGAGGCAATTGAAGTGTTTAACACCCTACCTCTATCAGCAGAACAACGAGAGGACTATGACTCGATCGTCAAAGCCTTCGAAGACTACTGCACGCCTCGGTGCAACGAGACATTCGAGAGGTACGTTCTGCGCAGTCGGCAACAACAGGATGGTGAACCTTTCGAACAGTTTTTGCGCGACATTCAGTTGAAAGCACAGACTTGTAATTTTGGCGAACTTAGGGACTCGATGGTGAGGGACCAGATAGTGTGCGGTATCGTCGACAAGAAGCTACGTGCACGCCTGCTTCAGGAGAAGGACTTAACCCTAGAATCAGCTGTAGAAATCTGCAAAGCCGCGGAACTGGCAGCAACGCAGAACCGGGCTCTTGAAAGCGAAGCGAAAGTGCAGAGAGTCGAAAAAATTGCAAACGCTGCCGGACAGTCTCGTACGAGCGGACAACGTCGACGCTGTGGCTACTGTGGCAAGATTCACGGACCAAGACGCTGCCCAGCGTTTGGAAAAACGTGCACGCTGTGCAACAAAAGAAACCATTTTGCAGCTTGCTGCAGGAGTAGACGCGGCGTTCATGAGTTAGGCGTCGCTGCAACAGAAGATGCACTGGAGGAGTCCTCGGACGCTACCGATGAAGACATTCAAGTTCTCACGGTACAAATCAGAAACGTGTCCAAAAATCAGGATTGGACGGTGGCAGGGGACCTTGCCGGGCACCCGACAGAACTGAAAGTGGATACAGGAGCGCAAGCGAACATATTGCCGTACTCGTACTTTCGCAGGATGCGTTTGCCGACCATGGTGCGGCCATCGACCACAGTACTTACTAACTACGAAGGAAGCAAAATACATCATTTGGGCGTTATCAGTCTGCCACTACGTCTAGGAGAGCAGCAAGAGAATATCAGTTTTTTTGTGGTCAAGAGAGGCAAGCAAGTCCTACTCGGATTGAATGCAGCAGAACGTTTCGGGCTGATTTCCCGCGTTCACGATGTATCTTCAAGAAGTGACGTTAGCACCGACTGGGTCACCGAGTTCCCGGAGTTATTCCACGGTCTGGGCTGCATCCGTAGACCATATTCGCTGGCAATGAAGGATGATGCGCGCCCCACGATCATGCCGCCGAGGAAAGTGCCACACGCACTGCGAGCGCCACTTAAGCAGGAGTTGGCCCGGATGGTCTCGCAGGGCATCATATGCAAAATGGAAGAGCCGTCAGACTGGGTGAGTCCACTTGTTCTTATTATGAAGAAGAATGGCCGCATGCGAATATGCCTAGACCCGCGGTACATTAATCGAAGCCTTAAACGCGAGCATTATCAGCTACCCTCACGTGAAGAAATAGAAGCAGAGCTGGCAGGAGCGGTGATGTTCACCAAGCTTGATGCCAATAGCGGGTTTCACCAGATCCCCTTAGACGAAGACACTTCAAAGATCTGCACCTTTAGCACGCCGTTCGGAAGATACCGATTTTTGCGCCTGCCATTTGGTATCGCGTCCGCCCCCGAAGTATTTCAGAAGGCAATGACGGAAGTGTTTGAAAACCTGCCGGGCACACGCGTATATGTCGATGATATTTTAATTTGGGGTGCATCAAAAGAGCAGCATGATCAACGCCTGCGTGCAGCACTGATGGCAGCGAGAAAGGCTGGCCTGACACTGAACAAAGAAAAGTGTCTGTTCGCGAAGGCCGAAGTTAAATTCCTGGGAGATTGTATCAGCAAAGAAGGAATAAAACCCGATGCTAGTCTCATTGAATGCGTTGCCAACATGCAAAAGCCGTCGAGTAAACAGGAAGTTCAAAGGTTTTTAGGTATTATGAATTACTTTGGCAAATTCATACCTAATCTCTCAAAAAGAACTGACGCCCTTAGGTCATTGATAAAGAATGATGTTGAATTCATATGGGAAGTTCACCATGACAAAGAATGGAAAGATCTTATTAAGGCTTTGACATCGGCTCCAGTGATCGCAGTTTTTGACCCATTGAAGCAAACGAAACTCTCAGCTGATGCATCAAGCTTTGCAGTAGGTGCTGCTCTTCTTCAACTCCATGACCAAGATTGGCGCCCAGTGGGTTATGCTTCAAGGGTGCTCTCAAAGGCTGAAACAAAATATGCCCAAATTGAAAAGGAAGCGCTGGCCGTGACGTTTGCTTGTGAGCGTTTCCGGGAGTTCGTACTGGGGTTATCAGTGACAGTCGAAACAGACCACCGACCTTTGCTTGCTATTTCACAAAAGAACCTGAGTGAAATGCCGCCACGATTGCAGCGCTATTTCTTGAGGCTAATGCCTTTTGATATCAAATTGCAATATGTTCCTGGGAAGCATCTGCTAGTGGCGGACACACTGTCCCGAATTCCAGGAACCCAACCGAGTGACGGAGAAAGCGAACAAGACGTATGCATCCATGCGACTCGCGTGCTAGCCAGCATCGTAAGTGAGAACACGAAGACTGAACTGACCTCTGCAATCCTGGCGGACCCATACCTCAAGCAAGTGGTGGAGGCACTCCAGGAAGGACGACCAGTCTCAGGCGAACTAGCTCCATGTTTGTCAGAACTGTCATATGTTGATGGAGTGCTTTTGCGGGGCAGCAGGGTGGTAATCCCAAAGAGTCTGAGGCGATCCATGCTGCAACGTCTTCATGAAGGCCATTTGGGAATGAGCAAGTGCAAAGCCAGAGCACGCCTTCTGATGTACTGGCCTGGGATGAATGCTGACATCAAGTCACTCATTAGCAAGTGTGCCACATGTCAGCACTTTGCCTACCGGCAACCTTCAGAGCCACTGTTATCGAGGGAAATCCCAACGCGGCCGTGGCAGCGAATTGGTGTCGACCTATTTGACCATGGGGGCAAGCGTTACCTGGTTGCGTACTGTGCCTACTCCAACTACCCAGAAGTGGAACAGTTGCCTCAGTCAACAAGTCAGGTCGTAGTGGACACACTAGGGACCATGTTTGCTCGCCACGGTATACCCATTGAAGTCTGTACCGATGGAGGACCACAGTTCACATCGCGAGAGTTTAGACAGTTTGCAGTAAAATACGATTTTACTCATACCATATCCAGTCCACACTTCCCCAGGGCCAATGGTCTAGCTGAGAAAGGGGTACAGGTCGTAAAGCGCCTCTTGAAGAAAAGTGAGTACGCTGGCGAGGAGTTTTGGGTTGCACTGCTCAATTATCGAATCTCGCCCCTGATAGACGGACGCACACCAAGTCAGCTCCTTATGGGACGGATGCTTCGGGGACGACTTCCAGACTTCTCATCGGCTTCGACATCGTCAGTGCGGAAACATCCACAGGATCACGGCAAAGGCATACCTCTCACACCTCTCTCCGAAGGGGACGTCGTCAGAATAAGAAACGACAAGGGGTGGTTTCCGAAAGCCCGAGTAGAGAAACTTGCTGGCCCTAGATCTTACATAGTCTGTACAGATGAAGGCCGGCGTTATCGAAGGAATCGTCAGCATCTAAAAAGGACGCCCGAACACTTAGACCCACTGGATGACAAGGATGTCGCACCGATAATCCCGTCGCCTATACAGCATAGACAACATTCAACATCAGATACAGCGCCCGATTTGACAACAGCATCCGCATCACGAAAGGAACGACATCCGTCACAACAGGCGCCTGCATCGGATGCTCTACTGAACCAGTCAGCTGCACGTGCACCACCCATTGCAAGTCAACCATCAAGGGACCCCGACGTGGTCCCGTCCCAGCATAAGGTCACTTGCCAGGCACAAGAAGCAGCCGACTCGAGTCTCAGAAGATCAACTAGGCCACGTAGAGCACCGACGCGCTTTGCCGACTACATCACCTAAAGAAAAAGGAGGATGTACCAGGCGGGCCACCGCTTAATAAATCGGGATGATCCCACCTCACCTGGCCACCTTGAGAGAGGGCGCGCGCGCGGCGCGGCAGCCATCAATAAACAGTCCCTGGCTAGCTAGCGTCTCGTGTGGTTGTGTCTTTGCTGAGCGCGTAAAGTAGAACAGGTTTTATATCACTTCAAAAATTTCTACAGATCCTAGACCTTGTGTGAGTATGTCTCATTCCAATCAGTCGGCGTGTATTTCTCTATGCTGCAATTTTTCGTTTTGATACAAGAGTCACCAGGTGGACTGGCGTGTTTTTGTAAGTGTAGCAGTTGTTTGCGTGCCATGGGATTACTAGGAATGTCGAATGCGCTGATATCAAAAGGGTAACCTATGACTTGACATAACGTATTGCGTGGTCAAAACTGCATTACGGGCGGCGCAGAGGGGCGTTTCGTAGAGCAAATAACCAATCGAAGTGTTAAGCGGTGCGTTGTGTTGCCCGTGGAGGAGATTTCGTTTCTGCGCGTACAAGCACGATTGGACAGGCGCAGGAAAGAAACGCCGGAATCGTTTTTACCGT